CCCCCCAAACCGACCAGTTAATCTGTGCGCGGGAGTGCGTCTCCGAATAGTAACTAGGTGCTCGCTGGAGACGTCTCCGAATATCTTCAGTCCCTTTACAGAGTCGATTCATCGATGACGTCGTTGTCTCCCTTTGTTTCTCTAGCCAGAGTGTCTTGTGTTGCACACTCGCTAAGATGCTTCGTCTGGGAGGCTCCTTGAAATGTTCCTAACAAGCGGTCATAAATATCCAAAGTCACTCCAATGTGCACTGATTTGTTAATTTTCATTGTGGAACAAAACTTAAAAAATGAAAAAGAATATATTGTTAACATACCCTCAGTTTTGATGCATGCTACTCAGGAAGTTATCTGTAACAGAGCGTGATTTTCTTGCTTTGACGGATTAGATGAAATCTATTATCATTCCCTAGACTTCAGAACAATATCAGCAGAGCAATCCATATGACACGGATTACTGAAAGAACACACGCTTGAACTGTGGAAAGAAAATAATGGTTAATCTCTTAGAAAAGTAGGATTTCTTTGAAATTGGCATATTTACTCTTGAGCAAGAACAATTTTTTTCAATTTTTTTTTATTCCTCTAACAACACTCCGTCCTCTTCCCCACACCTATCTCCCCCTCCATAAAGCTTTAAAAGACAAGAATAGTTTTCTCTTTAACCAAACAAACATACACACCATTGAAACCAAACTTCTCCTATAGGTATGGCAATGCCCACTTTTGGTGTAGATAGGTCAAGATTTCTGGACACCCCCGAAATCTGGGTTAGCCCGCTTGTCCTTAAAAGCGACTATTTGTAAAAGATTGATGAAGTACAAAGAGTTTTAAAAAGTGACGGCCCACACTTTCCCCAGGTACGAGTACTCAGCCTTCCAAGAGCCACTGGAGAATGGCACGAGCATCACTCGCTGTGGGAGTAACGGAGTGTCGTGGACATATACTGTGCTCAACGGCGTGGCTCTCGTCATGTTGGCCTATATAGTGCCGCTCACGCTACTGTTGCTGAACTACGGCAGGTAACTGGTGTTTGTGTGTGTGTGTGTGTGTGTGTGTG